ATTTTTTTCAAGGACCAACAGACCAATAAACTTGGATTTTTTAATAATTTTTTTAAGGACCAACTGACCAATAAACGTTGATTTTTTAAATAATTTTGTTCAAGGACCAAGAGACCATTAAATGCGGATTTTTAAATAATTTTTTTTTCAAGGACCAACAGACCACAAACGTGGATTTTTTAAATGTTTTTTTCAAGGACCAAAAGGCCAATAAGCTGTAATTTTCTTAAAGAATTTTTTTCAAGGACCAATAAACCTAGATTTTTTAAATAATTTTTTTCAAGGACCAACAGACCAATAAACTTGGATTTTTTAAATAATTTTTTTCAAGGACCAACAGACCAATAATCGTGGATTTTTAAATAATTTTTTTCAAGGACCAACAGACCAATAAACGTGGATTTTTTAAATAATTTTTTTAAGGACCAACAGACCAATAAACTTGGATTTTTTAAATAATTTTTTTCAAGACCAACAGACCAATAATCGTGGATTTTTAAATAATTTTTTTCAAGGACCAACAGACCAATAAACGTGGATTTTTTAAATAATTTTTTCAAGGACCAACAGACCAATAAACTTGGATTTTTTAAATAATTTTTTTCAAGACCAACAGACCAATAATCGTGGATTTTTAAATAATTTTTTTCAAGGACCAACAGTGGACTTTTTAAATAATTTTTTTCAAGGACCAACAGATCAATAAACGTTGATTTTTTAAACATATTTTTCAAGGACCAATAGTGGACATTTAAATATTTTTTTTCAAGGACCAACAGATCAATAGAAGTGGATTTTGCAAATAATTTTTTTTCAGGGACCAACAGACCAATAAACGTTGATTTTTTAAACATATTTTTCAAGGACCAATAGTGGACTTTTTAAATATTTTTTTAAGGACCAACAGACCAATAAGCATGGATTTTTTAAATAATTTTTTTCAAGGACCATCCCAGCAATTTGCTTGGATTTTTTAATTATTTTTATGCTACAATGCTGTTCTCTATGAACCCACTGTCCTCCGATTACCACAGTAACAGTAATCGTGTGCTTACATGAAACAAACAGCAAACGCTACATGAACCTCGTCAGCAGTTAAAATATATACTCTACTGCTTAACTGCTATGCAATACTATGCTGTAATGGTAGCAGCAGCAGAAACAACAACAATAAAAAATTAAAAAAAGAAATCTTTTTGGTATTTTAATCGAATTTTCGTGATGTTGTTGAGAAAAATCAACAATTTTCAATGGATTCTTTTTCTTTTGCCGTTTTATGTTTTTTTTTTTTTCATGAGGAAGAAATCGTTGGCTTACAAACGCCAAGTGAAGACATACCTACATACATATGTAAATACATTTGATCTCTCTCTCTCTCTCTCTCTGCACACCTTTTACAATTCCAGGACCATGACGTTCAACCCGTTTGCCTGGGAGGCAAAGTGGAAGAAAGTGATTTGTTTAGCAACCAGTGAACATTTTCAAGTGAATGAATCTCCATTGTATTGGAATTCGAATATTCAGCACTTAAATTAATGACCATGCAACAATAATTTTCATAACTACACCAACGCACACATCCACTCACACACACACATACAATGTCATTTACATGTGTAGCACATGTCATCACTAATCATGTCTCCAATGAGGTATAATATTGTTTATCCAATGGATTTAATATAATTGGAAGTTGTTATGTGTATTAGGGTGGTCTATTTTACATTTTCAGGAATCGGGGATTTATAAGAAAATATATATACACAAAAACAAAACAATAATCGAACATCTTCTGACAAAAACATGGTTATGATCAATTCTTCACAAACCTCCTCAACTTTTGGGGTTTTTAAAAAAAACATTTTTAACGACCTTCTTAACAAAATTTACGGATTCTCAAAAATGTTTTCAAAGAACCTCCATCCAGAAAATCGAAGGACCTTCTGACCATAAAATCATGAACTATTTCAGAAGTTTTTTTTACGGATTAAAAATATTGAATTTCTGACCTAAAATAGTGAATTTAAAACAAATGTTTCTATGGACCTCCACCTGACCAAAAATCGTAGGTTGTTGAAGAACATTTTTCAAGTGAATTTTTTCTACTTTCCAGAATTTCCAGATTTTTTGAAAAAATATTTCCCAAAGTATGTACAAAACGTGGAGTTATAAAAATATTTTTAAGGGCTTCCATATTTTTCCTGAACGATATTAGTGGATTTTTAGACAATTTTTCGAGCATCTCTAAGAACAAAACTACATTTTATCAATGATTTTGATTTTATCAATTTTTAATAGAATTTCAGAGAAAAATTTCGTTTACGTTTAAAGAAAATTTCCCCAGGTCCTCTCGACCAAAAATTTTGGATTTTCACAAAAAAGTTATTGAGAAATAAAACTCTGCGATTTGTTGAGAAAATATTTGAAGATTATTTTCCAAGGACCAATATATTTTTGTAAATTTTTTCATGACCGAGCCTCGTGAACTTTTCCTTTTTTAAAAATAAAATTTGTTAAGAATATTCTGAGTAATTAACGTGCAATTTTTATTTTTAAGGACTTCCCCACCAACCTTAGTTCATTTTTACAATTTTTTTTCATTGACCTCTAAAGCAAAAATCTTTGATTTTTAGAATTTTTTCTAGGAACTCTAGCAAAAAGAATTAGCTTTTTTATAAAAAAAAAACTCTTGACAACAATCTTGTATTTTTAAGAGTTTCAGGGATTTGCTGACTTAAATCTTTAAAAAACTTTATTTTTCAAGGACATCCTGACAAATTTTGTTTTCAAAAATCTTTGAAGGAATTTTAAGGATCATTGTTTCAAAGATCTCGATTTTCTTTTCAGGATCCTCTTTACCAAAAAGTTTGATTTTAAAAAATAATAATCATGGATTTTAGTGCAGTTTTTTTTAATAAGCTCCCTATGAAATATTCCAATCGACGTCTTGACCAAATATCTTAAAGGAAGTTTTTCAAGGACCTCCTTTATTAGAAATTAAAATAACTTAAGAATAAATATTTAAAGACCTCCTCAGAACAATTGTGCAATTTTAGAGAATCCGCTATGACCGAAAGTAAATTGTTTTGTTTCTTCCAAGGGCCTCTTGACCAAACATCTTAAATTTTTTTATAATTTTTTTTTTAACACCTCCTGATTAAAAATTGTGCATTTTTGAGAACCATTATTTGAGGGACATCAGCGCCAAAAATCGCTAATTTTTTAAGACGTTTCTTTGTATATTGTAGATTTTTATGAAGTTTTTTTAAAGATCTCGAGACAAAAAAGGTCAAATTTTTAAAGGACATCCTCATCAAATTCGGTGATTTTTTTCAGAAAATGTTTTCAAAATCCTTCTGGCACTCGTACATTTTGAGTTTTTTTAGTATTTTTTTAGGACTATTATAAGAAATATATTTGAGCTTTTATAATAAATTTTTCCAATGACCTCCTAAGCTGTCCTTCAGAAATAACATTTTTAAGAAAATTATGTGAAATTTTTAAACAAATTATTTTAAACAACTTCTGGCTAAAAATCTTGGATTTGTTGGAAATATCTAGAAGAATCTTCTAATACGAAAAAAGGGATCTGTTTCAAATTTTTGTCGAGGACATCTCTACCAAAATACTGTTGATTAAAAAAAATCGTTTAAGGACAAAAAGTAGTGGAAAGTCTTGGTCAGATATATTAATATCGTGGATTTGTTTCAAACACTTATTTGAGTAACTCTTTACCACAAACGGTGTTTTTAAGTTCTTGGCATTTTTTTCCTAAAAAATTCACGATTTTTCCTCGGAAGGCCATTTACAAAATTTTCTTAAAATATCCAGTATTTTTGGTTTCGGATAAAAATTTGTTAAAAATCCACGATTTTTGCTCTTAATTTTTTTTCATTTTTACAATTGTCCTTATAAGGACTAAATATCGTGCATTTTTAAAAAAGTTTGTCGTGAAACTTTAGGGTAATAATCGTGGATTAATAAATATTCACAGGACGTAAAATCATAACCTTCCGAGGAAAAATTGTGAATTTTTTAGAGAGAAAAAAAAAATGCCAAGAACTTCCTGTCGAAAAATCGCAATTTTTTCAAGAAATAAGCTCAAACACAATTCTGTCCAAGGATCTTTAATTTTTTTTTTCATAATATTTTCCAAGAATAGTGGATTTTTTAAGAAAAATTTTCAAGGACCTCCAAAAATTGGGGATCTATTGAAAACATTCTTCTTTAAGAAACAATTTTAAGGGATAAAAAATCTTAAAATTTACTTAAAAACAAGTTAAAAAGCAGTAAGTTCGGCCGGGTCGAACTTTGAATACCCTCCACCATTTGGAACAAATTTGGAAATTTTCAAAAAATAAAATCCGTTAAAAATTCTCTTAAAATCTTAAAAATACCGAATATAGCCTGTTGCAGCGAAAATAAAACTTTGGTTTTAATTTAGTTTTAATGTGTTTTATTAATCAAGTTATGTTACACGCGTACTTTCTGTAAAAACAAACTAACTCGGACAACGTGTTTCGGTGTCAAAAGAACAGACAAAAAAGAGAGAGAAAAGATAGAGAGTTGTAACGAACTATAACTTACAATGTCAATCATTGTCACAACATACAATAGGCATAGGAGAACAAAATAAAACATAGAAAACAGTGTTGCCATATTGGCGCGAACATGCCGGCCGCCTTGAACTACGGGGCTAAGTTCAACAATAGTAATATAAGAAACGGTATAATAATAGAAAAATTGTTAGGTATATGTCGTAAGATTTGTGGGCAGCAAAGTCAATTTAGCGGTAGGGCGAAGTAGTTGGCCATCCCTGGTTTGAAGTCGAACGACTCTTACTAGACCATCTTGGCCAGGTCGGCACTCGATTACACGTCCGAGCTTCCATTTTGTAGGCGGAGCAAGTTGGTCGTGAATTATGACGATGTCACCAACGGTAAAGTTAGGAGTTGGACGGAACCACTTACTGCGTTTCTGAAGGCTCGTGATATACTCACTCTTCCAGCGGCGCCAAAAATGTTGTCTCATGGCACTGATAGTTTGCCATCGTTGCGAAAGCGAACCTCGGAGGTCGGTGGTGTCAGGCTCGGGCAATGATTTTAATGGCTCGCCGATGATAAAGTGACCCGGCGTTAATGTTTCTTCTTCTCCCGGATGTGATGAAAGCGCAACAAGTGGGCGAGAATTCACACATGCTTCCACTTCTGTTAGAAGAGTGTTGAATTCTTCATATGTCAGCAGGACATCTCCAAGAGCTCTTTTGAGGTGGTACTTTACGCGTTTTACGCCTGCCTCCCAATAACCTCCCATATGAGGGGCACTAGGAGCATTGAAGTGCCACGTTATTCGGGACTTCTCAAAGTATGCCTTTACTGCGGGATCGGCCATGCATTTATTAAACATCATGTGTATCTCCTTATTGGCACCAACGAAATTTGTTCCGTTGTCGGAGTAAACGTGTGCGATGAAACCTCTTCGATTAATTATACGTTTAAAGGCTGCGATGAAATCTTCCGAAGATAAACTGCCGACCAACTCGAGGTGCATAGCGCCTGTGCTCATGCAAATGAACGAAGAAATATAACCCTTTGTTGATCTGCTTCCTCTTCCGTGAGTATATTTTAGCGTAAATGGTCCTGCGAAATCTACAGCCGTATGTAGGAAGCATCGCCTGAAGGTAAAACGACTAGCAGGAAGGTCTGCCATCATTTGTTGAACTGGTCGATGATTCAATTCTGTACATTTCACACAGCTGGCATATATCCTGCGTATAAGATTGCGAGCGCCGACTACCCAAAAACGCCTTTCGAGCGTAGCTTGCATAATACGAGGGCCAGCATGCAAAGTGTATAAATGAATATCGGATACGATGGCCTTGGCTAGCGGCGACTTCTTGGGCAAAATAATTTGATGGCGGGCTTCATAATGCAAATTCGAATAGCGTAGCCGACCTCCTACACGGAGAATGCCTTGTTCGTCCAGAAAGGGGTTTAAACGAAGTAAACTGCTACGCTTCGGTACAATCCTTTTATCTCTGCAAGCAATAACTTCTTGATTAAATACAAAATGTTGATCATACTTAACCAATAGAGACTCGGATTCGTGCAATTCAGCAATCGTAAAAGATCCGCAGCGGGGCGTTGAATTTTGTAGCTTGCACTTGATGTTGTATATAAAGCGTCTCAAATAAGATGTGATTCGAACTAGTTTGTCGAAGGATGAGTACCGGAAAAGAAAATCCCAATACTCAATATCATTGGCGATTTGAGCCGTTGCTACTGCTATCTTGCGCGCTTCAAGACAAGTTGAATGTTCACTGGAATTGCTTCGGTGCCATGTAGGTATGATGCTTCGTAGCCAATCGGGTCCATTCCACCAAAGATTATGTTGTAGCAAATGACTGGCGTTGACGCCTCTTGAAGCACAATCTGCTGGATTGTGTTCTGAGCGTACATGATTCCATATTTCAGGGGGAAGAACATCTTGGACCTCTGCCACGCGGTTTGCAACATAAGTTGACCATCGGCTAGGATGGCTGTGCAACCACGCGAGTACCACAGTTGAATCTGTCCAGGCATACATTCGAAATCCACTGCCAATGCTTTCTCTTACCTTCCGAATAAGCTTTGCTGCTAGTGAAGCTCCACATAGCTCGAGGCGGGGTAGCGTTTTAGTTTTTAGCGGTGCTACTTTAGCGCGGGCAGTTACCAATGAAACATTTACCTTTCCGTCATGGTGAACAGTGCGTGCGTATAGAGCGGCTGCGTAAGCTCGATTTGAAGCATCAGCGAATACGTGAAATTCGGTATTTGTGGTATCTGATGTATTAATCCAGCGGCAGAGTCTTAACGTTGATAACTTTTGAAGACCATTTCGGTGTTTTATCCACTCACGCAGTATAGACTTAGGCACTTCTTCGTCCCAGTTGACATTAGCGCTCCACAGTTCTTGCATCCATAATTTTGATCGAATCGTGCATGGAGCGATTAATCCCAATGGATCGAAAAGCGTACTAGTGTCCGACAGGAATACTCGTTTAGTTATTCTATGCGGTAACTCCTTTAAGTTGACGGCTAATGAGATACTGTCATCTGTAGTGTTCCATATGTTACCTAATGTTCGAACTTCCTTATCAGCCACAAGGAGATGCGTTGTTTGCATAGACGTCTGTGGAATGCGTTCAATGAGCTTTGTGGAATTTGTTGCCCATTTTCGTAGTTCAAATCCACCTTGTGATAAATGTTGGGACACTTCATATTGTAGTGAAAGTAGCTCCTCCTCACTGGAGGCCCCACTGAGCATGTCGTCCATGTAAAAATCGCGAGTGATAATGCGGGCAACGCTTTCGTTAGCGTTGTTAGCAGTTTGCTGCATGCATTTTACAGCACAATAAGATGCGGAAGCTACACCATATGTAACTCTTAGTAAGCGGTAGTCCATGATAGGCTCTGCGGGAGATCGACGCCAAACGATGCGTTGAAAATCCGTATCCTTTTCTGCTACATACACCTGCCTATACATTTTTTCCACATCTGCCATCATGGCAAAGCGATGTTGGCGAAATCGTAGCAGAATCGAAAACATATCATCTTGTAGTTGCGGCCCCACCATGAGGGCGTCGTTGAGCGATAGACCTGTAGACGTCTTCATCGACGCATTAAATACAACGCGCAGTTTTGTCGTGGAGCTGGTTTCCTTTAACACTGCATGGTGCGGCATGTAGTAACAGTGCTCCGTCGGTACAGATGTTGTAGGAACCAGTTCCATATGCCCCATTGAAAGAAGCTCATCCATGAATGCGTTGTATTGGTCCCTTAAACTTGCGTCGTTGGCTAGTCTGGCTTCTAAACGTTTCAAGCTACGCAGTGCTATCCCGCGAGATTCTCCCAATACCATAGAATCTCTGAAAGGCAATTGAATGACAAATCGCCCATCGTCAGCTCTGCCGTGCGTCTTCTTAAAATGCCTTTCACATGCCAACTCTTCAGCAGTGTAATGCCTCTTAGCACAAGGCTCTTCGATTTCCCAAAACTTACTAACGGCTCTGGCGAGTTGCAGGTCACAATGCAGATTCGCAACATGAAGGTTAGGAGAGGTCGCGAGAACATTTCCGTATAAAATCCAGCCTAAATGTGTATTAAATGCCATTGGTGTTCCCGGTGGTCCCCGTTTAAACCCTTCAATGATAAATTTGTCCATTTCATCGACACCAATTAGTAAATCAATAGGACCAGGGTGATAAAAATGTGGGTCTGCGAGGCGTAGATTCTCGATGTGTGGCCAGGACACGGTAGGAATTTCCACAGATGGTAAATCGTTTGTCAATTTTGGTAAAACAAGAGCAATGATATTGAAGAGGTTAGTGGATGTTTTAGGACAAAGTATTAAATCTACTTCACCTTTTACACCACCTCCTTGTGATGTTCCAATGCCAGTTACCGTTAGCGATGCGGGTTTGCGGGGTATGCGGAGGCGCTGAGCACAAGCCTCTGTTATAAATGTTGCGTGCGATCCACTATCAAACAGGGCTCTTGCAGGTTGGAGTCTGCCGGACTCGTCCTTGATACGGACTAGGGCAGTACCCAATAGTGCGATGATTTTTACGGATTTTGATTTAGGGGCAAAAGCTGTGTTAAAGCTGTTAACATACTGTGCGGTGGCTGCTATGCCGTTGTTTGGTGTAGCCAAATGCGTATTCGTAGTATGTTGAGCGGGTAGCGGGGTAGCAATAACTGCTGATTGACTTGCGGGCGAACTGCATTGATAATTTGCGGTGAATGCTTCGTGGATTGAGGTGTGATGACTGCGGTGACATATTCGGCATTTCGACGAGCTTTTACAGCTTGTTGTCGTGTGTCCTAAACTGAGGCAATTAAAGCATGCGTTCTTTTGTCGAATCGCATCGAACTTTCTTTTTGCACTCAGCTTGTCATAGTCATCACAATGATAGATCTTGTGATCTTTGTTGCAATATGTGCACTTACTCTGACTCGGGGCGCTGCTATGAAATGCACTCATACTCCCTTTCAATTGTCTAGTTATGGGTTTTGATTGTCTGGGCGGATCGGAATTTCCAAGCATTTCCAGTGAACGGGCTCTTATGAGAAGGAATTCCGATAATTCCTCAAATGTTGGAGGCGAGTCATCCGTTAATGACAATTCCCATTGTTTTCGGGTTTCATATGCAAGCTTTGATACTGTCCAGTAAACCAACCAATCGTCATACAGGTCTACGGGGCGGCCAAGTGCACGTAAAGCAGCAATATGTTGCAATACTAAGCCATGTATTGACTTTATTGATGCGGCAGTGTCTTTTGTAGACTTCTCTATTGTGAAAATTGCATGTAAATGCGTATCCACTAATAATCGCATAACCTTATAGCGATCTATTAAAATGTTCCAGGCCTCGGAGTAATTTGCGTCACCTACTTTAAGTCCGCTGATAGCTTGTAAAGCTTCCCCTTTAAGGCAACTGCGTAAATAATGCATCTTTTGACCATCTGTGATGCTGGTGTTTGTGTGTATCAAGGAACAAAATGTATCGTGGAAAGATACCCAGTCCGCTGATCTGCCGTCAAATGTTGTTAACTGTATTTTCGGCAATTGTATGGATGCAGTTGCAACAGGGGCATCCGTGGGCGAAAGTTGTGGGTTGTAGGCGACTTCATTTTGAACTACTGAAGGATGCGCGGCTAGCAATTTGTCAAAATTGCTTTTTGCGAGCAGATACCATTCCTCAGCTTGAATACGTGCTTCTTCTTCCACCTGGTATTCCACGCCACAAGATATCTCCACCTTTTCCTGCGCTTGGTTAAAGCGTCGCCACTGCTCTTCCAGAAGCAGACTATAATTTTGGGCCATTTCCAAATTAATAGCCATCTCATCCTTCTTACTAGCCTCCATATACCTCTTTATGGCTCTGGATGCTGAGTCGCGTACCTTAACCTCATTCATAGCCATTGTGGTTATGTTTTTCACTTACGCGGGGTATATTTTTGTTAAATATTTTAACCCCAATATTTTAACATCCGGCTCGAAGGACCAAAAAATGTTGCAGCGAAAATAAAACTTTGGTTTTAATTTAGTTTTAATGTGTTTTATTAATCAAGTTATGTTACACGCGTACTTTCTGTAAAAACAAACTAACTCGGACAACGTGTTTCGGTGTCAAAAGAACAGACAAAAAAGAGAGAGAAAAGATAGAGAGTTGTAACGAACTATAACTTACAATGTCAATCATTGTCACAACATACAATAGGCATAGGAGAACAAAATAAAACATAGAAAACAGTGTTGCCATATTGGCGCGAACATAGCCGTTATATTGGGGTCTATACGACGACATGGACCTGCATAGGTAACATTTGTCACAAGCCATTACAATATTCAAATGCGAAACTTAAAAAAATCGGTAACAATGTAGCTAAAATCATGAAAGTACCGAATATCGGGAGGTACCGTTATATGGGGCTATACGAAGAAGTGGACCGCTCAGACAATTTTCTGTCTTAGGCTGTAGTATCCATTACGAACATCAAATACCAAATTTAAAACAATTCCGGCGAATAATGCCGCTAAAATCAACAAAGTACCGAATATTGGAAGGTACCATTATATGGGGTCTATACAAAGACGTGGACCTGCATAGACAATTTTATGTCATAGGCTGTAGTATCCACTACGAACATCAAATACCAAATTTGAAACAATTCCGACAAAAAATGTCGCTAAAATAATCAAAATACGGAATATCGGGAGGTACTGTTATATGGGGGCTATACGAAGAGGTGGACCTGCACAGGGAATTTTCTGTCTTAGGCTGTAGTATCCATTACGAACTTTAAATACAAAATTTGAAGCAATTCCGGTGAATAATGTCGCTAAAATCATCAAAAACAGAATATCGGGAGGTATCGTTATATGGGGGCTATACGAAGACGTGGACCTGCACAGACAATTTTGTTTTAGGCTGTAGTATCCATTATGAACTTCAAACACCAAATTTGAAACTATTCCGGTGAATAATATAGCTAGAATCATCAAAATACCGAATATCGGGGCTATACGAAGACGTAGACCTATATGACCCATTTTCAATACCAAAAGTCCTGCAGACATAATACACATTTGAGTAAAATTGTATCAACCTACTTCATTTCGTTCGGAAGGATGTTACAAAAATCAAGTACAAAAGATTGTTTAAAAAATCGCGGAAATTATTGGCTGCTATGAAAATCGTGGATTCTTTAAGTCTTCTCAACTTTATATAAATCACGGATTTTTAAGGATATTAAAGGCAATACCCGCTTTATATAAATATAGTTTATAAATATTATTATGTACAATTATAAATGAATACGTAACGTTCAGTGGTAGGGGTTGGTTGGTCGTAAAGACCACTATGAAACCCATCAATATTAACAACATCTTTCCATAACTGCCGGCACGTGACGCGTGGACACTCCATTTAATTTGCAATTTTACTCATCATAATTGCTGAGCGGCAACTCTCAAGAGATGCGATACTAAGTATTGACGGTGATCAGACTTGTATGGAGCTGTTTGAATGCACATTTTGTCCTGCGGATGGATGGCCGTACACATACTACGAGTTACTTCATCTTCTGAGTTTATGGCCAGGGCTAAACTAGTTTATGATGGCAGCTACCGGAGTTCCTGTTGTATTTTCGTTTTTTTGCTTTTCATTATCGCAGTAAAGATTGTTTCGATCGCATCTTGATCATAAAAAAACCTATGATTGTGCTGACGATGAAGATGAGGGAAAATGAAATGCATGAAAATCCATTAAATTGGCACGTGATAAACGTTAATGATTGACAAATTTACCAAATGGGTCCATTTGGTGGGGGACTTGGTGATGACACACCAAACGACAGCCTTATTTGAGTATTGAACTGGTAGACAGACATTCAGTCAGTCAGGCAGGTATGATGTTGGGCGGGCGAATATTATTACAGCATGACAGAAATATTAAACATTTAATTGAGAGATGTGAGTGGAAATATTAATTAGCGAGAGGTTGGCAATCAGGTTGTCACCGACACTGATGAGGATCACAACTTCGGCAAATGGACAATTGGTGGACAAGTGGCAACATGGTTGTTAACAGATGTATTGAAAATGAAGATATTAAAAATTACCATAATTGGTAACACCTTTATTCCAAGGAAAGCAAAAGGGATGCAGGGCTAGGGTAAAGGTATAATTATTATGTGGAAAAACTGTTGCTTACTCTAAAAAAAAATGGAAAAAGGTTCTAAAGTGGTATTTTATTTTGAAATTAAAAATAATTTGTTTCATTTGAAATTGGAGGTAAAAATAGGCTATTACAAAAATTGTCTTAGAATTAACTTTTTTGAAGGTCCCTGAAAAATATTTAAATACACTTATAGTAATAAAAATACAGCAATAAACGTGGACTTTTTAAATATTTTTTTTCAAGGACCATATCAGCAATAAACGTGGATTTTTTAAATAATTTTTTCAAAGACCATATCAGCAATAAACGTGGATTTTTAAATAATTTTTTTCAAGGACCAACAGACCAATAAACCTGGATTTTTTAAATAATTTTTTTCAAGAACCAATAGACCAATAAATGTGGATTTTTTAAATAATTTTTTTCAAGGACCATATCAGCAATAAACGTGATTTTTTTAAATAATTTTTTTCAAGGACCAACAGACCAATAAACCTGAATATTTAAAATAATTTTTTTTCAAGGACTATATCAGCAATAAACTTAGATTTTTTAAAAAAAATTTTTTTCAAGGAACAACCGACCAATAAGCGTGGATTTTTTGAGGAATTTTTTTCAAGGACCAACAGACCAATAAACCTTAATTTTTTAAATAATTTTTTCAAAGACCAACAGACTAATAAACCTTGATTTAAAAAAAAATATTAAAGACCACCATTGGTGTGATATATTTTTTAAATAATTTTTTTCAAGGACCACATCAGCAATAAACGTGGATTTTTAAATAATTTTTTTCAAGGACCAATAGACCAATAAACCTTGATTTTTTAAATAATTTTTTTTAAGGATTTTTTAAATAATTTTTTTCAAGGACCAACAGACCAATAAACCTTGATTTTTTAAATAATTTTTTTCAAGGACTATATCAGCAATAAACATGGATTTTTTAAATAATTTTTTTCAAGGACCAACAGACCAATAAACATGGATTTTTAAAATATTTTTTTTTCAAGGACCAACAGACCAATAAACCTGGATTTTTTAAATAATTCTTTTTCAAGAACCAACAGACCAATAAATGTGGATTTTTTAAATAATTTTTTTCAAGGACCACATCAGCAATAAACGTGGATTTTTTAAATAATTTTTTTTTTCAAGGAACAACCGACCAATAAGCGTGGATTTTTTGAGGAATTTTTTCAAGGACCAACAAATCTAAAACTTTGATTTTTTAAATAATTTTTTCAAAGACCACCAGACCAATAAACATGTATTTTTTAAATAATTTTTTTAAGGACCAAGAGATGTGTATTCTTAAATAATGGGTTTTTTAATAAAGGACCAACAGACCAAAAAGGCTCTTTTTTATTTTTTTATAGAAAAACTTACCAAAAATTATCAATATTTTGGTTAAATTTTTCAAAGACCTTGCCAACGATATTTTTTAAAAAAGTATTTTTGCTGTCAGCCTTTTCTCTACGAACCCACAAATTTAATTTTTTTTTTAAAAATATAAGATTTTGTATACGAGTAGCTTTGAAAAACATTTTAAAGGACCCATGATATTTGGTCAGAAGATCCTTGATTTTTTTTATTCATAATTTTTGGGCATGCTCCCATGTTTATAGAATTATTGTTGAGGGGGTTCTAGAAGAAATTCTCTTACAAATGTCCAATTCTTGGTCTGGATGAAAAAATCTAAAAAATTTTAGAATATTTTGAAATGGGTGCCGCCAAAAAAATTAATATTCTTGTCGATAAAATTCTTTAAAAATCACAGCAATCGTGGGTTTTTTATATGCTCAGCCTTATGGCTATAGAGTGTATGCATATATCTTTTAATTCAGTCAAAACGTCAAATCCGTTTCAGGATGTCCGTCTGGCAGACTTGATAACTCTCGAAGGGAGTATCCGATTTTATCCATATTTGGTACATCGTAATTTCATTGTCAAACTTAGATCGAGTTCGGAAACGGGCAATATCGGTACACTTTTTTACTGCATAGAAATTCTAATATATGCATCAGTGCTAAGTCAGGTGCGAAAATGGATAATATCGGTCCACTCTATCAAGTGCCTCTCCCTCTGCTTCTGGTACCTCCTCCACAAAGGGTCAACATTTTGAATATCCATGAAGCTCATAAAACGCGAATTAACATCCGATTCCATTCAGATTTGGCACATCTCAATCAACAATATATCCGTTATAAAGATGGTAGAGATCGAACCATTTCTTCTGGTACCTCCCCCACATATGTTTAACGATTTTGAAAAAAACAAAACGCTCAAAGAGGCGAAATAAGCATCCAACTCTCTTCAAATTTCAAACATCCAAATAAAAAGTATTTTTCTTCAAATTCAGCGATACTTGGTATGAGAGTCCTTGAATATATTTTTGCTAAAATTTTTGGACAGAGAGTCTTCAATTTTTTTTAAATAAAAATCCTCGTTTTTTTCTGGGTTGAAGTCTCTGAAAATTACATTTTAAATCAAAAATTCTTAACTTAGAAGAACTTGAACATTTTTTGTCTTGGGAGTTCTAAAATCCACAATTAGTTCCATGAAAAATACGTTTGTTTCAAAAAACCCACAATTTTTGCCTGGGAGTTCGTGAAAATTTGTATTTTAGTCCAATTATTCGCAATTCTTTGCCTGAAAGCCCTTGAAATTTAGTTCTCAATATTTTTGCTTGCTTCTTGGCCTGAGTCCCACAAAAAATGTAAAATCCACGTTTTAAAAT